GCTTTAGCTTTTCAATGCATCTTGAATGGTCTCAATCGGACATTGGTAGTGGAAAATATGATCAAAATACAGAAGGCCGTCTGGTGAAAATTATTTAAAACCATGCGGTCGCATGTCTTTAATTCTATACGATCGAAAATGGTTTCAGAGTCCATTTTCAATTTTCTATGCGGCCGCATAGTTCATTCTCGACACGAAAATTCTGGTTTTCGAATTTTAGTCAACTACCTATGGAAACAACTATAAATACATGTTTGAAAACCCTAGAACGGAAGAGAAACGTACAAAACGTCTCCAAACTTCATTCTTCATTATTTTGCTCATAGATTCATGAATTGTAACTAATCTTTTACACTTGGTCAAAGGAGATTGAAGCCTCAGAATCACATATTGTGAGATCTAAATAGTTTTTCTTAGTTTAATTCATGTTTTTGAGTATTGAATACTCTTCTGCACTTATTTCTATGATTGTTATACTTAATTGCTAGGAGGCCTACTGTAACGACCCGAGTCCTACTTAACGGGTTGTTCTGACAGTTAGATCGATGATGTAATATCCCCACTGTACCAACATGGGTCTTCAGCATACTTTATCCTCACCCGTACGCTCCCCAAGAAACTTCCCAGGGGGTCACATATCATAGAATTGCTCCAAGCCAAGCACGTTTAACTGTAGAGTTTCTAACGATGAACTTCCGAAAAAGAAGGTGGACCTTGTTGGTATGAGTAGTACCTATCAAATCTTTTAAGCTTTCCTGGTCTGGGTATTACAATCGCCCCCGTTAGACTCGCAACGTCCTCGTCGCGCTTGATCCATCTGAGGATCCGTTGCCAGGCGTTGGGATTCTAGATGTGGCTCCTATGGGTTCAAGAGGTGACTCCTGCCCTATGGCGTAGCACTTTATCCAGTTCATTCCTGACACGAAAATTCTGGTTTCCGAATTTAAGTCAACTACCTATGAAAACAACTATAAATACATATTTTAAAATCCTAGAACGGAAAAGGAACGTACAGAACGCATCCAAACTTCATTTTCTTCATTATTTTGCTCATAGATTCATGATTTGTAACTAAACTTTTACACTTGGTCGAAGAAGATTGAAGCCTCAGAACCACATATTGTGAGATCTAAATGGTTTTTCTTAGTTTAATTCATGTTTTTGAGTATTGAATACTTTTCTGCACTTATTTCCATGATTGTTATGTTTAATTACTAGGAGGCCTNTTGTTATGTTTAATTGTTATGAGGCCGACGAGTTTGTTATTCGTTGCAATCTACCGTTAAATTAAATATCAAATCCATAATTGTTTGATTTCTTTAATTTGTGAAGCAACTAGGGTTTGATAATTTGTTGCTTTAGTTATTGTTAAATTTTAGGAAGAATGTTTATATAGATTGAATGCAACAGCTGGTGTTTGTGTTATCTAGTTCATCGATTTCTCTTTGTTATTAAATTGAATTTTGAGCGCTGGTATGAGGTTATTTAATAATTATGGTTAATTAGAACGCTGGTTTCTAACTAACTAAAATTAAAGAGAAATAAGAATTCATTCCAACGGTGAATATTCAAAATATGGGTTGATTTATACTTGCATCGATGATCAATTGTAAAGTTCCGACGGTGGATTATTTAGACCAATGTTAGTATTTTGATTGTTTTCGTTAATTTAATTTACATTGTTATTAATTGCGTTATTTACAATTATTTGCATACAAATCCCCCTAATTACTGTACGAAGCATAAAATATTGAATTACATACTCTTCGTGGGATCGACCATTACTTCCACTACTAAATTAGTTTTAGAGGTTAAGGTATTACTTTTGGGTGTTTGCGACCACACAACAAATTTTGGCGCCGTTGCCGGGGAGTGGTGCTAATTTATTTTTGTTCTTCTTTAGTTGTTTATTTTATTTTTGAAAAAAAAAATCATAATTTTTTAGGTTTTTAGGCAATTTATTGTTTTTAGGAATTTTAACATAAAATTTTATTTGTTTTTCTTACTCTAACTTCTTTTTAATTTGTTTTATTTGTACCCGCAACTCGATCTTCTAATTAAGGAGCGGCAATCAGTGGAATTTTATAGTGAACAATTTTGATCCTGATACCCTATTCCATGGTGATTTTGAATCAAAGGAAGATGAAGTCGTGGCTGAGGACAATCGAACTTTGAAGGAGCTTGAAGCCCCTAACTTGAATCAACAACCTCTATGCATTACTTTTCCTAATTTAGATGATGCCACTAATTTCGAATTAAAATCTGGGCTAATTCATTTTTTACCCACTTTTCATGGTCTTACGGGTGAGGATCCACACAAGCATATAAAGGAATTCTATGTGGTTTGCATAAGCATGAAACTTACGGGAGTCACTGAAGAACAAATCAAACTGAGAGTCTTCCCATTCTCTTTGAAAGATTCGACAAAGGATTGACTCTATTATCTACCTTCCGGAAGCGTTACTACATATGATGGGATGAGAAGATTATTTTTGGAGAAATACTTCACAGCTTCAAGGGCAGCTAACATCTAAAAGGAAATCTGTGGCATAATGCAGGACAACCGAGAGTCATTACATGAATACTGGGAGCGGTCCAAGAAATTGTGAGCAAGTTGCCCCCATCACCAAATTAGTGAGAAGCTCCTCATTCAATACTTTTATGAAGGCCTTTTAGCCACAGATAGGAGTATGATTGATGCTGTAAATGGAGGAGTGTTGGTAGATAAAACTCCAGAGGCTGCAAATAACTTGATTGCAAATATGGCAGCTAACTCTCAGCAATTTGGCACTAGACTTGACACCCCGTCTAAACTTGTTAACGAGGTAAATGTTTCATCCATTGAACAAAAACTGGCGAGTCTAACCACTCTTGTTCGTCAAATGGATGCAGGTACTATTCAAACAACGAAGGCATGTGGATTTTGTTCATTGGTAGGCCATCCAACTGATATGTGCCCAACACTTAAAAAAGAATCTGTTGAACATGTAAATGTAGCCGGTAGCTTTCCTGGACAACCACGGAGGAATTATGATCCCTATTCAAACACGTACAACCAAGGATAGATGGATAATCCTAATCTTAGTTATGGGAATCGACAAGTGAAGCTTAGGTCAATAATGTCAACATTTAAATCCACATCATCAAGTTATGCTCCAACATAAGTGATAAGTCAATAATAATTATGTGCTCAAATAATTAAATCTAACATGAATAAGTATTCTAGTAAAAGCATCAGATACGATGTTGCCCAGATCTAGTTAAAGCCATACTCAATTCAAATAAATAAATATCATCATAGGTGGCAAGTTGTTCATCACTATACTAGACACTATTTTTGAGTTTTTCACATTTTTATTTCAAATTAAAATAGTTATATAGATTCGATAAGCAATTTAAAAGTAAGAAAGAAAGATCCTAAGTATCCTAATACTTATCCACCCCAAACAAAAAGTTACATTGTGGCCAATGTAAAAATAAAAATAATCAAAATAAAGAAGTAAATGGTGAGAAACTCCCCCGGGGTAGATGTGGATAAGTAAAAGGACCACTGATAATTCAGACTGGTGGACGCTGTCATGACAACCACCACTCTTCCTGGTTGCTAGGCTTTAGTTTTCTGCTTCAAGAATTCAAAATAAATATCAGTGATAGCATAAAATGTTTAAATATTTGCAATGAATTCACACCAAGAATAATTATAATCTTCTAATTTTCAGAAACATTATCTAACAGAGCGTGCATCCTTGCAAAAATCTTATAGTTAGGAAAAAACAAGTCTTTCAAATTGGTTTGGAGATTGAAATCTAGGTGCAACCTTAAGAATGCATATCACATCAATGTAAGCATAATATAATGCTAGGATATTAATGATGAGCCCAAGTAAAATGAACTCAATAAGTAAACAAGCCTAAATTACTAATGCAAATCTTAAAATACTACCTAAAATGTGTTAAAAACCATTTAAATGCATGAGTTCCCAAATATAGCCCTAAAATATTAATGCAATCCCTAAAACTACGTATAATGCAATAGTTAATCAAAATAAGTGAAAACGGATAGAAAAATGGGTTGCCTCCCATTAAGCGCTTAATTTAAAGTCTTTAGTTAGACTTTTGGCAACAACGATCATTCAAGGAATTTTAAAGAAATATTTGGATGCCTTGTTTTGCTTGTATGTTGAACTTGCACCATTTTTCATTTTTTCTCCAAAAATTTACGTTGCCCTCGTCATTAAAATATGGCTTTGCTTCATCACTTGGTTCGAACTCCACTATGTAAGCTTCAACTATCTCATTGGTGTTAATGATAAATCAATTATTAAGCAGTCACTGGAGTCGGGGGATTGCTTGGTAAGGTCAAAATCATTAAATGTCGCACTTTTAATTTGCTCTACTATGATCAACCCCTCTTTTTTCCATATGCTCATATTCTTTAATTGATACTTTCTCGAGTTCAACGTCCATATCCAAAACTTTTGGAAAAAAAAACAATAACATCTCCATGGAAAGTCTTCACCTTTTGTTGTATTTGTTGGAAGTCCGGTGGACGTGATTCGCTTAATTGACGTCCATTAATAGCTTGTGGAAGAAATAATTTCACGGACAAATCACCCACGTCAAATTTTGGTGAGAGAAAGAAGTTAACATGCAAGTCACCCATCATAGTTTCATCAAGTTCACATAAGAACATTTGGTTGGAATCAACCACGGTCATTTGTTATCCTACTAATTTTGGTCTTTTTATATCCTAAAAGAAAAATAAAAATAAAAAAACTAAAATGGAGCAAAAATAAAAATACAAGAATACCGGTAAAAATTCGAATTTGTGCTAAAATAAATCGAACCCAAACTAAAGAACATCCAACAACGACGTCAAAAACTAGTTATCGAGTATATGATGCTGCCTTTGCGTGCCTGAAAGTGCTTGCGATTTGCCTGAAAAACCTCACGATGTCTGACATGGCCTGCACACGATTCCTAAAAGTGCCTGAAAAAACCTTAAGATGCTTGATATGGCTTGCACACGGTGTTGCCTTCGTGTGCCTGCATCCCTGCTCGTGTGCCTGCGTCCCTGCCATGACTTGTACACCATGCATGAAAAAATCTCATGATGCCTGACATGGCCTGCACAAGGTTCCTGAAAGTGCCTGAAAAAAACTTTAAGATGCCTGATATGGCTTGCATACGATGCTGCCTTCGCGCCTGAAGCGGCTGAAAATGTGCTTGCGTCCTAGTCACGGCCTGTACACGTTGCTGCCTTCGTGTGCCTGCGTCCCTGCCATGGCATGCACACTGTGCCCGGAAAAATCCTGTGATGCCGACATGGCCTACACAAGGTTCTAGAAAAACCTTAAGATGCCTGATATAGCTTGCACACGGTGCTGCCTTCTGTGCCTGAAGTGCCTGAAAATGTGCCTGCGTGTTTGCAACGACGTCAAATATTATTCGTTCAAAATACTACAAGTGCGTGATTTGTTAACAAATAGTAAAATGGATTTTGAGTCCAAGTATAAATTCAAATCAACTTAGACTTAACCGAAACAATGGAAAGTTGTGATTTTTCTATAACTAAATTGTGATAGAGTAATATCAATATACATATGAATGCAAGACCTAATTTAACTAAAATCAATGTTATAATGAATACAAGTTTGATGAAAATATGTTGCTAAAAAACATATTAGGTCTTGCATTCATATGTATATTACTCTATATCAATCACAACCTCGAACCTTTAAATTTGACTACACGATTCAATTATAAAGGTCAATGTTCTTAATTTGTTTAACAAACTCTCTCGAGTATAATTCAACATATCATTGCATATGAACTGACTATATTTATATGACGAATGCACACATACAAGAATGCATTAAGGATTTTTGAATGCTTAAAGATCACATAGAGCATAGCAATATATTTTTATCCCATATCGGACTTTACGACAATTGCCACTATGTTTAACTTATTTTCAATCTTCTGAAGGTAAAATAAGTCACAGAACTCATACAACTATTGCGCATATAATTATAGATAAGCATAAACCCATGTCAATCATTCAAAATTAAAATGTGATTTGAATGTCAAAAAGAAATAAAATCAAGAGTTAAAGTTCATGATACAAGATTCATCATAATTATAGCACTAGATTACTTTAGCCTAATATGTTGTGAAGAAGAAAACAAAAGAAATAAAAATAGTTCATCACCCGGAATTCTTGAACTTGGTATTTGGATTTCTTGAATTCGATATTTGTGTTATTTGCCTCTTTTTCCAATCAATTGTTCCCTTCTTTAGAGTTAATATCTTCTATTTATATGCCTATCAAAAGTCTCCAAAAAGTCTTAAAAAAATGTCTGGAAATCAATCCAAGAAGAAGAGACCTTGTTGGAGAAGAATTCAAAATGAAAAATGGACCCTTGCTGCGATTGACATGGGTGGGTGCCCAGTTGAAAACTGGGTGGCCGCCTAGGCACATTAATTTATCCATGCATTTGAAACTTCAAGCCGAGCGGTCGCCCAACTAATATAACTGGACGGGTGCCCAGTTATAATAACTTCCAAAATTCATTTTTAGTCATTTTCTTCATTCTTTCTTTTATTTGGATCCTCCACTACAAATTATGCCTTTTTTTATTCTTCAACTTCTTCTCATGTGCACATTAATCCCCAAAACCTTTCATCCAATCATCAATTCATCCCTTTCTTTTCCAATTGCATATAAAGAGTCCAAAACTGAAATAAGAAAAATTTAACCCAAGTAAAACTTAACACTTTGACAACATAAAAGTTTAATAATTTGACACGAATAAGTGCACAAAACGCAATTATCACCACTCACAAGTTCCATCAAACTGGTGGCTGCAAAAGCTGACATATGAGTAGCTCGCACAGGATATTTCAAGCTCAGATAGCATTATTCAATTTCAATTGACAACCCAATGCAAATTGAAAATTTTGATCTTAGAATACATACTTTTTTTAATATTTTTTTGACAGGATAGCTCTTTGTTATGTTGGTTAATATGTTATTTATTAGAGTAGAATGGAGGTGATTTGGTAAGGGGGTAGTTTATACCCAACCTTTCTTCATTTGATTTTTGTTTATTTAAAGATAAAGGTGAAATTATTTTTCAAATATAATTTTGATTTGTTAATTAAAGATGAAGGTAAAATCATATCTTGGGGAAGTACAAAAAAATAAAAAATAAAAAAATCATATTTTGGGGACTATTAAAAGTAACAGGGGACATAAATTCTGTTTTGAAGTTTGGGGATCCATATGCACCACTAGTCAAAGATTGGGGACTCTGTTGCTATTTTCCATTTTCTTACTCATTTTTTTTTTTTTTTAATTATTTCGATTGCTTCTACACTTGATCTTCTTTGTTGGCCTATTTCTAAACGACACACAGTAATTAGCTAATATTAATTAACTAATGAAATCAGCAGACAAATAAATTCGAGAACAAAATTATGTTTTCCAACTGACCCTCCAAAAATCATACCAAATACAAAGAAACATAAAGTTCACCAAAACATCTGAGTATTCGATGGCCCCTCTCATCTAAGCTCAAGAGTTTTTGTAAATAATTTTGCTCAACGTTCTAGAAGACAGAAAAATTTCAATGAGAATAACATGTTCAAACTCCATGAATTGCATAGTACATATACTTGACAAATATCGAGTCTTTAATAGAGGCTTGCAATTTGTGGACTACAGAATACAAGTACTTCATCAACAACAGCCCTACTCTCATCCCCAAATAAGGATTTCTTCCCATCTTCCCTTTTAGCATAAGAAAGTCCCAATCTAGACTTAGCTTCACTCAAAACACCAATCCCTGTATTTTTTCCAAAAATAACAAATGTTAGTCACTCAAATTATGGCAAAGTTTCATGTTAATTATTTGTTTATTCAATTAAGATACGTTAATGTCCGACATAGAAGACCATCCGTTCTAGCTGCCTTTCCATTCCTCACTTTGGTTTCCCCCAAGCCAATCAAATCTGACTCTTGTGCTCTTATATAATCTTTGGCCTCTCTCTGCTTCTCGCCTTTACCGATCTTTCTGACATTCCATATAAGGACCTTCATGTGGAACTATTGTTGTTTTTATATTCCCCTCGCACCTTAGCGCNAAAAAAAAAAAAAAAAAAAACCACCCACAGCTAAAAAGAATGCCTTACAAGTTCGTGTAAAGGAATGCTCGATTTGGAGATCGAGATTTCATTTGTTTTCATTGACAAGAAGAAGGCCGAAGATTTTGGATTAGGGAATATCGGACCATAAATGCTTTTGCTGGCACCGACATCTACATGGAGGTCTTCCACATCGAACATTTCATTAGAAAAAAATCCAATTTTAACTAAGTGATCAAAACTGAAACAAAAGGGCAAATTTCCAGTAACTATCAACTTGAAATTTCACTTTACGTACCCGAATTCGTATCAGGCCCTGCAAATCCACCCATAACTGGAGCCAATGGGGGTCCAATAAGCAATCCATCTGCTCCAAATTGAGGCCCTCCTCTAGCATAATCAAAAAGGGCAGCACCACTGCCCCCTATTTTGGGTAGGACATAAGGTTCATTTTGATCATTTTCCAGTGCCCAGTAAAAGAGAAAGGCATCAAAAGTAGGTTCATTTTGATCATTTTCCAGTGCCCAGTAAAAGAGATAGGCATCAAATGTATAATAATAATCATCAGTACTTCTATACCCTTCAGGATTAAATGCCCCAAATTTGAAGGACTTGTTTGTGTACCCAATTATAACACATGGTCCTTTGAAGTCACAACACTTGTGGAATTCAGTAGCACTAAATCCATCAAGGCTGGCCTTGTAGCAGCATTTCAGTTCTCTACCTGCTCAACATCAATCGATAAAAAAAATGTCACTCACATGTTTAATAAGATAGATTGAAGAGTATTGAAAAAAAAAAAGTCTCATCTATGTCGTATCAAACATGTGCCTACTGGAATAATAACAATGTCTTATAAAGAGCAAAACTTTTATCGGCAGCAAGCATGTTTGGCTAAGTTTAAAATGTTGACTTATTGGGTTAAAAATTTCAATGGCTACTGATAAGAGTATTTTGTATACTTATTTAGGCCTTCAAGTTAGAATACTTATTGGTTATTTTGATAAATTATGGTTTAATTCTATATGTATTGTGTTTGTTAGGTATAAATCAACGAAAATGGTTGAATTGGAGAAAAAGGCTGAAAAAAGGCTCAACAACAAATTATTACTTGTTAATGATCACGTACGCTTGCTGATGTTATCCGAACAACCACTATAGCTTTAACATTTTATGTTCGTCACTCTGCCTATTTCTATTGAAAATTAATGATACCGATCAAGTGGTAAACGGAATAGTTAATATTTTTAACGAGGGTAATTGACACAATATCCCTCGACGTTTCCCTTTTTTTTGTGGAATACCCCGACCTTTCATATTGGTGAAAAACCTCCTAAGCACCCAAACATTGCAAAATACCCCATGCCGTCTATATCTGTTAGTAGTTTAGGCGTTAAAAATAGTAAAAATGACCAAGATCAATAAAACCTCAAAGAGTATTTCAGTGTCTTCAAATCCTTAGACTCACTTAAGGCTTCGTTTGTTTGAGTAACCGAGAGAGAAACCAATAGTTCATTTAAACGGAAAAACCCCATAAACAGAAGAACCCCATGATTCAACCAAAATAAAGACATTCATACTATTTAAGTGGGTAGTGATTAGTAGTGAATAGTGGAAATTATTTCGTGGTTTTGTTGTGATATGGGTAGTGAATGTTTTGTTATTATTTGGATATTGGAGTTAGTGAATGTTTCCATTATCGTATTGTTTTAATGTATTTGATTTCCCATGCAGTGTAATATAAAGAAGTTTTCTACTGTAATTTTTTGTTTAGTTTTTCTGGTTTTGTTGCTATGTTGATTCTAAATTTCATGTGTATATTGAGGAAGAAGAAGAAGAACAAGTTTATTGGCGAAATGTTTGTGTGCAAGTCAAACTGAAATTGGTAAACATTGCAGAATACACCCTGAAAATGGTAAATTTTGTGGAATGCTATCTTGAAATGGTAAACTTTGTGCAAAACAACCCTAAATCAGACCTTAACCAGTAGAAAGTAGAAATCAACAAAAGAAACTAGCAATGCAGACCTTAACACGTCAAAATAAACTAACAGTAATCCCATAATACAGCAATAAAGCTGACCTTACACCAAACGATAGTAAAATATAACACTGAATGCAGACATTAATCCAACATCAAACACCATCCAAATTAGTAGAATACAGAACTAATTTTAACCATCCAAACGAGTAGAGTACAAAATAGTAGAATAGCAGAATACAACAAAATGGCGTGCAGATACTTCTCTAATGAACAAATTTGTGAAAAATGATTGCTGATTTTGAATTTTTTGGTAGATTCTTGGCATTTCTACCCCACTATGGCCTATTGGTTTGTCTCCATGTTTGTGTTTCAAACAAACAGAGCCTTAAGTAAGTGTTTGGATTTGAAGAGACTCAAATACCCTTGAGGTTTTATTATTTTGGCCCTTTTTACTATTTTTAATGCATAAACTAACGGATGTAGACAAAAGGGCGTATCCCACAACGTTTGGGTGATTTAGGAGAGTTTTCCACAAAAATGAAAGGTTATGGGTATTCTACAAAACAAGCAAACATTAGGGGGGGGGGGGGGGGGGGGGGGGGGGGGGGGGGGGGGGGGGGGGGGGGGGGGGGGGGGGGGGGGGGGGGGGGG